CTACCATACTGGAGAGAAAAGAAGAAGCACATTGATCTGCCAGCCGTGCTCTTTTTTTTTTTTTTTTTTTTTCATAAATCATACAGGTATGGAACAAGCAAGTATGCAAGAAAATAATGACGAATTTTATAAGTTTAAATTTAGTTTAAGATTTAGGCTTCAGTGTTGCTATTGTTAAAAAACTAAACCTATTAAAAATTTATTAAAGTCATTCTCATTAATTGAAATGAAGCTGAAATAAAATAAGATGAGAACTTAACTTAAACCTAAAGTTAGACATTTTGCCTTAGCGACTGTTAAATAATAATAATAATAATAGTTTAAGTACTAAAATTTCCAAAGCTACAACTGAAATAATAATAAATTACAGCTAAATAGGTAGATTAAAAAAACTAATAAAAATTACAAAAGCACATAAAAATGACAAAAACATTTTTTAAATTTAATAAAAGTCTAAATTGTAAAATAGTGTACAAATGCGGTAATGCTTAAATAACACTGGGTCTGTGTCAATGAATCATCAAATTAAAGTTTTAAAAACTATATATTATACTTATATTACACTCTAAAAAATGCTGGGTTGTTTCAACTCAACTTTGGGTCAAATATGGACTAACCCAACCATTGGGTTAAATTTTTACATTAAATTTTTAACCCAAAAGTTGGGTTAGTCCATATTTGACCCAAAGTTGGGTTGAAACAACCCAGCATTTTTTAGTGTGTATAAAGTATAACTATTACTGAAATTATCTACAAAATGTGTTAGAACATGAAATACTGATTTCTTACTAAATAAAAAGTTCCAGCAGATATTAACAAGATTTTAAATTTTTCTACCCAAGCACAGTCTATAACCTCATGTACAAACAATTATAAGTATCTATTAAAACTTGATTTAAACAATAAATGAGCATGAGTGATAAAAAAGTTACAGCATCTCTTAGTGAAGTAATTATTTATCTGACCTGGACAGTAGCTGCAATTTACAACACGTCACCCGATAGTCCTGACTCCCGAACCATAAATAACCATCATATCTTACAGCATTAATGTTTCCGAGTAGAAACCTTTTCAAATGAGTGCTGAATATTGAAACATCTACTGGTCTGAAAAAGTTATGTCAGGCTCATTCAGGGTGTGTCAACTTTACAGACCACTGTCTATCTCCAGCTCTCACAGGAACACACACATAGAGTGTTTTGTCAAGGTGAAGGGTCAGTTCCACAAGGTCAGAGTATGTCCACATTTAACTGTTAACTTATTGTTTACTTCATGGGGTAATAAAGAAGGAGCAATAAAATATCAGTACCCATATAATTTTAATGTTTAATAATAATAGTTACGTTTACCAAACTACACAAATTATAATGAAATAATACACCGAAGCTACTTTACTGTATGAGACTGTCATTAATTCAATAGGTTTAGTAATGTGTTTCCCAGGGGGACTGTTATAATTATTCTCATCTGCCCTGCTGTGCTGCTAAAGAATCTCATTTTTATATGCACAAATCCCTGGCTGTGAATTGTCACTCATCTAATTGCATTTAAGTGCAGAGGTCTGATGGTTGAGGGTCACGGGGGGTTAGCAGGCTCATAAATGGTTTTGTTTTGGAGTGCTAGATTGTTTTAACATTGCTTTAGGGCATGAATAAAACAATAAAATGATGAATTACTTTTGTGGGTAGAATGGTACAGTTATGGCTTCAGTAATATGTGGTTATTGAAAAACACTGATGCTTGCATTATGTTTTTGCGTTGGGAATTGGACATTCTAAAGTGTGAAAACATTTAAAAACGCTTAACATGAAAAACAATGTCGTAAACAACTAGGGAGAGCCATCTACAGTACTATAAAAAAGCAGCATTAATACAAAGACAATATTGTAATTTTAAGCATTGTTTAAGGATGCTATGCAGAAACAGGGACACATTGGTAAATAATAAGACACTGGCCTTGGAAGTAGTACTGGAATTAATTCTGTATACACCGAAAAGCCAAGAGCCCATTTAAACTCTCATTTTTGCAAATTGGTTCTTTTGAAAAAGACTGTTTTAATCAAATCAATTTCAAAGTACCATAAGCATAAAGTTCATGTCATCCTTTAATGGCATGGTTACATTCCCTAAAATATTCCAAAGAAGCATATGTATTACATATTTCTGTTTATTACATTTTCATAATTTTTTTTATTAATATATTATTAAAAAGTGTTTTATTAATAATATTATAAAAAGTGTATATTGTATTTTGTGTATTTTTATTATTTCTCATATAAAAGAACAATACAAAATAACAATAATACAAAGTTCTGTCATGAAACTCTAGATGGTGCAGGCCGATAGGTTCTAAGTCAGTCTGATATAATCACATCATTATTCACATGGCACAGCCGATTGGTTCTAGTTGCATCAGCAGCCAATGAGCTTGCTGCTAAACATTCAAATAATCAGCTAGTGTTTGCTGTAGCAGTTGCAGCGCACTTCAGAAATCCTCCACCTTCCCCAGCTCCACCTGTATTGATCTGCTACGGGGTGATTTCATGTATGTTATATGTGTTATTTCATATACTGTATGTTATACGTGCAGCAGCAGTATTTCTTACATGCTCACAGCAGCATGTCTGTGGATGTATTTGGCAGTAGCAAGTCTCAGTACTTACTCTGCCGCAGGAGCAGCGTAGCAGATCTATTCTGCCAAGACCAAACACATTACCATTGCCATGTATACTACCATTCTAAACTCTCCTTGCTGGACTATGACCCGTTCTAGGAGATTTAATCTCTGGCAGTTTTCAAAACAAATGGGAAGCATAAAATATTCACCAGAAGAAAATATATTGCTCTCACGGGCCTACTTTATTTCAAGTGTGTGAAATAGCCCTGCCAGTAACACCAGGTAGACACACTTGATACTCACACACAGAGACTCGGGCTGATATAGGCCTACCTTTTCCCTTGATGTTCATCGAACTGAGCAGACAATGTAATAAGATCTTCACACACACACACAGAGTTCGAGACACACACACCTGCTTACTCTGCACAGGCACCTTACACAATCACACCGGCACTTATCCTACTTGTGAGAGCTTGTACATACATTCATACCAGAGCAAATAGTGCGTTTGGAGTTCAACCTTCCTAAAATTAATTTGTGTGCATGCACAAACATGTAGACAGATTATTCAGATGTTTTACTGTAACGTTACATTAGCATTTAGACCCACTGAGAAGGCCATTACCATGTGACGTCAACCCATTGAACAGCAGTGGCCCCCCAACCACTGACCCTCAAAACACGTTATTCAATGCAACAGCAATTAATGATTTTTAGGGGTAGTACGTTCAAAAATGGGAAGCACATAAAGGGTCAATATTTAGTCTGCAAAAGCATTTTTTTAACAAACAAAAACTCTATTTGTTACACATATAATATGCAACCTGTGCCGTTGTG